TGCTGCTTGGCCTGCTGTGTTCATCCAGCTCTGCACCTTGTTGTCTCAGATTTTCCAGCATCTGCAGTTCCTACTATCTCTTAACAGGAACGATGACCATTTGTCCCAATTTGACAGTAAGGTTTTTTTCTTAATTCATTCATATGATGTGGGTGTGGCCAGCATTTATTGTCTGCCCCCAGTCGTCCTTGAATTGAGTGACTTGCTTAGCTATTTCAAACGGCAGTTGAAAGTCAACCATATCATTATGTGTCTGGAGTCTCATGTAGGCCAGATCAGGTTAGGATGGCAGATTGCCTTCCAAAAGGACATTAGTGAGCCAGATGGGTTTTTCTGATAATCAACAATGGCTTCATGGTCATCAGCAGATTCATAATTCCATAATCTTTAATGAATTCAAATTCCACCTCTGCCACGTTGGTATTTGAACCTGGGTCATCAGAACATTAGCTGATTTTCTGGATCAACAGTTTAGCAATAATACCACTCAGCCAACACCCCCTCAGTATAAAGTTATTCATCCCAGCAGTGAGTTGAGTAAATTGTCTCTGACCGGATTTAATTTTCAAGGAAGTCGTCTAAAACTGTACACAGTGCTGTGGTAAAAGTGATAGTTTTGTGGTTATGTCACAGGGCCAGGCTAATGCTCTAGGGACAAGAACAGAAATCGCTGGAAAAACTCAGTAGGCTTGGCAGCATCCATGGAGAGAAAGCAAAGTTAATGTTTTGGATCCACTGACCCTTCTCAAGAAAGGTTCCATTTTGTTCCGGATATCCAGCATCCATAGTTTTTTGGTATTTTTTGTTTAATGCTGAGCATATGGGTTCAAATGCCACCATTGCAGTGGGTGGAATTTAAACTCAAGTAACAAATTTTAGTCTCTGTATAGGTGACAATGAATCCATAAGTAAACGCTGTAATATCCTTTACAGAAGGAAATCCTTTGCCAGAGGGAAATCTGCTATCCTTATCTGCTTTGGCCTGCATGTGACTCTAGGTACACAGCAATGTGGTTCACATTTAATTGAACTCTGAAATAGTCCAGAATGCCACTTAGTTCAACAGCAATTAACGACATGTAATAAATACCAGACTGCATTCCATGAAAGAATATAAAAATAAAATGTGGTCTTGATAAAACTCTGCACAACTGCAGTAAATTTCCCTACTTATTTATCCAATTTTCCTTAATATATTCCATTTGCCTTCTTAATCACTTGCTGTACCCGCATACCAATTTTTGTAAGTTCTTCATTCTTTCTTAACTTAAATAGTTAATAGATCAGTAAGCTTCCCATGGTCAGGAAGGAGAGACCACAGCTTGAGTGAGACATATTGTTCGAGGATTTTGGAGGCGCTGGGGGAATTTAGTGCAGAGGGGAAGAGGACCTTTGTGCTTGCTTTTTTGGTTCATAGTTTGAAAGGTTTTTTTTTAATAGACAGAATAAATTAAAGCCCAGGATCAGGGGCTCAGCATAAAACAAAGTGACATCACAGGAAAACCAGAAGTTCACTGGTTGGTAATAGCTGCTAATTTGATAATCTATTATAGGTTACTTTCACTTTGAAGGTAAATAGGTGAAATACTTATAGATTGCAAGCTATAAGACCAGTAGGATTTACAAAAAATAAATTACGAATTAGGTTATTAAAATAGAGATGCTGGGCCAGGCAATGTGTTATACCTGCATGATATGGGAGTTGGTGGCCTACCCTCTTCCTTTGGGCAGCAGGTACAAATGTTGGAAAACATGTGCCAACAGATTCAAGAACAGCTTCTTCCCTGTTGCTATCAGACTTATGAATGGACCTCTCATGTTTTAGAGGTGATCTTTCTCTATATCTTCTCTGTAGCTGTAACACTACATTCTACATTCTGTTCTATTACTCTGATGTTCTTATGTATGATTTGCCTGTATTGCACACAAAACAATATTTTTCACTGTATCTCAGTTCACGTGACAATAATAAATCGAATCAAATGTGGTTCATAGTGACCACGTCTGTAGCAAATATCGGTTGCATGAGGATCTCTGGCTCAGGGTTGATAAGCTAGAGTCCGAGCTTTGAACACTGCGACACATCGGCAGGCCGGGGGGAACGGGCAGTTTCCTGGACTCTGTTTTAGAGCAACACACCCCTTAGATTAACTATCTTGAATTAGGTCAGTGGTTAGAAACAGGAGGGTGTGACTATGAGTGAGGCAGGAAGAGGGAAATAGGAAGTAGTGCTGAAGAAGCCTCAGCCATTGAGACTGTCTAACAGATTTGAGATTCTTGTTCCCTGTGTGGAGGAGTGCAAGGGATGTAGGGAGGATGAACAAATTGACCATGGCACCATGATAGAGGGAGCCATTCAGCATGGGGAGAAAAGACAAATGCGGTTGTAATCAGGGATAGTAGAGTCAGGGAAATAGATGCTCTTCTCTGTGGCTAGGATTGCAATTCCCGAAGGTTGTGTTGCTGCCTAGTGCCTAGGTACAGGATATCTCATTTGCGCTGCAAAGCAACTTGGAGTGGGAGAGGAAATATCCAGTTGCCATAATCCACGTGGGTATCAATGATATAGGTAGAAACAGGAAAGAGGTTCTTCTGAGGGAGCAGCTAGCAGCTAAATTAAAATGCAGAACCAAAAGGAGAGTAATCTCTGGATTGCTAGCTGAGTCACAAGCTAATTGGCACAGGGTCAACAAGATTAAAGAGCTCTACCTGAATCATGCTGGGACAAGAGTCCTGGTGAATCACATAACTAAGGCTGTGGATGGGGCTTTAAAGTAAATGGGGTTGGGAGCGGGGGGATGAATCATTTGCATGGAGAATTATGGAAAAAATTAAATGTTAAAAGTGGGCTCAGGAGAGGTGGTTGATGTTCCAGTGTGTAATAGGATAGAGTATAGAAAGGGTGATGTGTAATGAGCCAAACTTGATTAGGGAGATTAAAGGTGAAGAAACTTCTAGGGGGCAGTGACCATAACATGATAGAATTCACCCGGAGAGGGAGAAGGTGGAATCAGATGGAATGATATTACAGTGGTTAACTACAAAGACATGAGGGAGGAACTGGCCAGAGCTGACTGGAAGGGGAGCTACCCGGGAAGATGGTGGAGCAGCAATGGCAGGAGTTTCCGGAGGAAGTTCGGAGGCACAGCGGAAATTCATCCCAAGGAAGAAGCAGCATAATAAGGGGAGGACGAGGCAACTATGACTGACAAGGGAGGTCATGATAGCATATAAGCAAAATAAAAAGCATAGAATTTGGTGAAGAGGAGTGGGAACTCATTGGTTTGGAAGCCTTTAAAAGCCAGCAGAGGAAAACCGAAAAAAAAAGCAATAAAGGTGAAAGAAGACGAAATATGAGAGGAAGCTAGCTAAAAGAAGATTAAATAAAAGAAGATTGCAAGAGTTTTCTTTTTAAACTATCTAAAAAGGTACAATTGCAATGTTTAAAAGACATTTGGATGAGTTCATGAATAGGAAAGATTTGGAAGGATATGGGCCAAACGCAGGCAAGTGGGACTAGTTTAGTTTGGGAACATGATTGGCATGGACTAGTTGGACTGAAGGGTCTGTTTCCATGCTGTGTGACTCTATGACTATTTTACTTTGTTTTGATTAGATAACCAAACCTAATCCATGGTAATATGTTGCCCCATACACCATCGAGCTCTGAAGCCTTTTGCCAATCCAAATGCACATCATTTATAGGTTCCCCTTTATCCAACTTGCTTATTACTTCCTAAAAGAACACAAAAATACTTCTCCCACTTTCCAGTTTCCTTTTATCAACTCTCTGACTCATTTTTTAAGAGGACCTGAAGTTACACTTTTACATTTTAATAACCCTCTGTCTGTAAAACTATATATCAAGCAGATGGCCTTTACCCACTAATTTATCTAAAACTGTTGAGATTATGCATCACATTGAACAGTGTCTGGGATCAGTATAAATATGTAGAAGAGGGCAAATTCTAAGAAGATTTCTGAACATAGTGTAACATGGGCTGTCTGCGGATGAGAAAAAGTTATTAAGTTGGCAAAACCTGGTCATAAAATTTAATCTTTGAATTGAACAAGAAAACATGATTGAATAACAATAAATGCTTTCAGCAGAACCAACTGAAATTATTCAGTAAGAGAGAGTTATTCTTCAAAGAATGCAATAAAATATGATTTATGACTCTTTCTAAAGAACATATCAAGTGACATTAGAGACACTTGTTTTTCCAGAGTTAACAAAAGCAAAAATCTAAGGAAGTTTAACACATGGCTTCAAAGCCGTACCGTATCAATGATTGTACTATAATGTGAATTCAGGACTTCTATGCAATCTTATTTCAAAATTGAATGTATGTACCTAAATAACTACTTAAGGAAGTAAAACAGATTGGAAAAAGAAAGGACCTTAATAGAACTTTTTATAACAGGTTTTCTATGAAATCTCCTAATAGTATGATTATTTTTCAAAGTCATAATTCATTATTATTTTATCACATGGATTACCGATTAACGTTTTCTTTCTGGTTCTAGTGTTTAAAGTTGCTCAAAAGTTATAGACTGAGGATAATAGCATTCATTCTGGAAATCTCAGGATCAGTCTCATTGTCACTGCACATATAATGATAAATGACTTCAATGATAAATATAAAACCACTCTGACGGATTAGGGCAGCAGATGCCTGGGAACATCACTACTTGCTAGTGGTGCAGGGAATGCAGCACCTTGGTACATGCTCAATTCAACATTCAGGTCCATTCTGCTCTGCTACATAGGACATTTCGTTCCTCATCATTGATACTTTAACTTTCTTTTATGATTTATTTTCCCTAGATCACATTCCCCAGCTTCAAATTTTAATACTTTCAAGCTGCCATAATCTCTCCAAGCTTCAATGCTCTGTGCTCCAGTGGATTGGAAGCTTTTATCTCCACATTCAAATCCCTCCACCACTTAATCTCACTGTTCCTCAGTAATTTTCTTTGTCCTCAAGACTTTGTGCATACTCCTTTAACAGACAGTTAAACACAGAGTTCCTTCTCTTCTAATAACGGCCACTGTTCTCTAAACACTCAGAATTCCCCATCTGTTTCTCTCTCCCAACCCCATTCTTTATCATTTTCAAAGAATTCCTCAAAATGTATACTTTTAAATTTGTTTTCAGCCCACAACCTAAATCTACAGTTTTGTCATGTTTTATTTTTCTCTTGCTTTGACTTTTACTCCTGAGTTCAAAACACTGTTTTCTTCATGAGCACCACAGTAGAAATGGAAGTTGTTTAAAAAAAGTAGCTCCTACCTCTACAACTAAAGAACCAATGGGGTTTTAACTTCAGGACGTCTCAGCTTTGATGTTAGATTGGTAATTTCAGGATAATACAGTATAACGTCAGTTCTGTTCCTAGTCTATTGCATGTTCATTTCCCCATTTACATGAAAGTATTAGAAACCTTATCCCAGGTGGCAAGCAATTAGGAAGGCAAATGCTAAGTTAGACCTTTCTGCAAAGAGCCTATGAGTAAGAGTGCTTTGCTGTAATTATACAGGGTTTTAAAAGATCATACCTGTAGAACTTCACCCAGTTTTATTCTCCTTACCTAGGAAGTATATACTTACTTTAGAAGAGGAGCAACACAGGCTCACTAGACTGATTCCTGGGATGTGAAGGCTTTACCGTGTGGAAAGATTGAGTAGAATGGGGCTGTTTCTAAGGGGACTGATGAATAAAATGAAAGGTACAAAATTCTAGGAAGGCTTCACATAGTAGATGCTGAGTAGATGCATTACTTGCTAGCATGTTGTTTCCCCTGAAGGGTCTAGAACTAGGGATCATATGTCTCAGGGCAAGAAGATTCAGATTGCTAGATTTTTGGGTATAGACAGAATGAAGCAATAGAGTGGTAAGTGGGTTTGATGTTGAGGTTGAAACACAATCTTACTAAATGGCAAGAGATAGTAGGAACTGCAGATGCTGGAGAATCTGAGATAACAAGGTGTAGAGCTGGATGAACACAGCAGGCCAAGCAGCACCAGAGGAGCAGGAAAGCTGACGTTTCGAGCCTAGACCCTACAAAATGGCAAAACAGGATTGATGGGGCCTTTGGCCTATTTTGGTTTTTCACTCTTATGCTTCAAGAGACTTGTTTGTTGCAGTAATTATCAACAGTGGTCACTACTGAATAATGATAGCACTTTTCTATTTTTTAGTTTTTACTGCCTATTTGATATGCACCACATTCAACAGAACAGTGGTGTATTTAAATTTAAACAAAATTTGATCTTTAATGAAACACCTATATCTACATCTCTTAGATGAGTATTCACCTGCTGTGTTGGATAACGTGGCAATTTTCAGAACCATATCAGTGTAAAATACCTTTATAATGTTCATTACAGCAAGCACAGGAATTTATGAAACTGAGTTACTTTTATATATCAACTTTGCTCGAACAGAAGAATAAGTGTTAAATTTGGTGCAGAGATCTTGCTGCAGCTGTCAGTGTTTAGTTTTGGCTGCTATTAGTATCGCTCCACACATGCACTCCTTCTTCAAAAAAAAAAATTAGAAACCGAATCATAACACTTCTATATCACAAGTGTGTGTTTCACCTTCCACCTCCAAGGATGGCGTTCATCATACAGCTGAGGACTTGTTTTCCTGAGACTACCACAAGTGACCTTCAAAAGGAAAAGAACAGTGGAGAATAGAGCAAAAAAAAGGGTTGCAGAAAGCAGAGGAAGGTCAAACAACTCAGCCATATGCATAATCCAGCAGGATCAAAGCTCAAACAATTTCAAAAGCTTTAAAACATATATCTCATTTCAAAAAAATGTGAAAATGTAAACAGCTTTGTCCCCCAAAAATTAAGTTTGACTATTTAATAAGTTTTTGCGTTTATTTCTAAATGAAGTTGAATATTTACAACTCAAATTTGGTGTGGCAAACTGTTTGAAAGTTTATGACTTAGAAACTTTGTTTTCGTTGCAAAAGTACCAATGTGAATGACAATTGATCAATTGTACAATTTTCAGTAATTGCCAGAGGTAGATTTCAGGATGTCAAAATAACACCTACTCATCTCAGCATATAATAGTAAAGACAAATGTTCTGACTGTTTAAATTGTACTAATGCAGCTCATGCAATAAAAAGCAATCAGAACAATTTTCCATTGACTATAAAATTCTGAAAATTTAACTTGATTCTGCAAATAGTATAGCAGGGTCAGTTTTTCTTGAACCTTTTGCATGTAAATTGAGCAATTTTTACATTTTCAAACTTTGGCAAGGGTAAAGCTGTAACAATTTAATGCAGTTCTTTGGCAGTACGTAAAACAGCAACATTGTGATTCTGTTGGCGATAACTGACGATACTTGTTGAAAAGAATTCTAATTATGTAGTCAAACTTGACTATCAGCTCAAATGGAAAAGGATATTTTGCTAGCTGATATCTATGAAGCTTTCAAAAATATGGTCAAAAGGTAGCAATACTGAAATATTCGGTAGCAGGAGTGCATTTTACCTCATGCAAAGGGTGAAAACCCATTGCTCACCTGGTTACTATGCACAAAGTACTGACATGTATGGGCAGCAGAAAGAACAGGAGAATAAGTAGAAGAATAAACAGGTTCCTACAGACATGAGCAAATGCAGAGTAAGACAAATAAGAAAAAAGGCTTAGTGGAGAAAAAAAAACCTGGACGCACAAACAATTAAATTGAACATTATCGCACATAGTAAAAAGGTGTACTAAGACACATTAACCAATTCCTACCAAAACACATTCAGCAGCATTCTTGAGTTCCTCAGACATGCAAGATAATAGCTATTTAGAAATTTATTAATATTAGCTAAAATTTTAACTTGCAACTGCATGGATCATCATAAGACATTTTACCAAACTACACAGGCAACTGCTGACCATTTCATTATATTGGAGAAAAAAAAACCAACTGTTACTCATTTTCTTCCTTATGAAGGTGATTTTCATTCAAACTGAAACTTTTATAAATGAAAATGAAATCTGCTTTTGGTCAAAACACAGCAGCTTCCCAAATGAATAAATTACTATTAATCAAGTTAAAGCAGGCCAACAATATTGAACGGTATAGCATATAAAAACTCTTCAAATACAGCCGAGTTTTAAGCACAATTTACAAGCACAAAATTGCAGCAACATCTTACTGGGAATAGCCATAATATCTTTCAGAAAAATAAATATTAACCTAATCCTTGTTTAAAAAAAGAATTGAGTGAGCTTTGTGGAGGTAACAGGGGTCTCACCTGCTGGCTGTAGAGCTGGCAAGGGATTGATGTCTCCCGGTTTTGAGAATGGCCTGTCTAATCAGAAATCACTCAATTTGCACAGGTTTACCTGCTGTGCATATTTCACGATGACTAGCCCACCTACAGTAGGGTCTATATTCGGGCAGTGCGACAAGGACCTTAAAATGATTATTTGTCCACTTAAAGATTGCAATTGAACCTGAAGAGTTGAACATAGGCCTTCAAGGCCTGGACTTAAATCAGGGTGGAGGTGAGAAGACGGTGGGAAGAGACTGACCACATGGTGCTGATTAAATACCCTACCTGCCTCCCAACTGCTACTCAGAGAGGGCAGAGATACCTTCCATTGTTACTGATATCTTACAAATATTTATCCGATTAGCAAAAGGTCGGTTATTGCATTTTCACACCCTCACAGCATTAAAATAACTGCAAATCAATACTAATTTCTCCATTTACGGTGTAGTTGCATTCTCACCTCAAAGAATAATTCATAAATTAAAGTAAATGCACACAGACAAAAAAAAAATCAATAGAGTGCAATGAGGAATTATACTTGGGTTTCAATAAATTAATTACGAAAGCACGTTAAATCAACTTGTTTCATATTTCCTGGAGTTTAGAAGATTCAAGGGTAACCCAATGATAATGTTCAAAATGACAAAGATTTAGTGGAGGAGATGTAGAGAAACCATTTCCTCTGATGAGTTATTTGGAACGGGAGGCACAACCTTAAAATTATAGCCAAGACTGAAGTCAAAAAATACTTTTTCGACGAAAGGTAACAGCAACCGCGAATTCATTCATCACAAAAGGTATGGTTGTGCACCATTTGAAATAATAAGATGGATATCAGCAGGTTGCTTATGAGGTAAAGGGACAAACCTGTATGTAGCAATGACTGATAAATCGAGTTGAGGTATAGATAAAATGATTTTGTTGAACATCTGATCAGGTTTGAGATACAATGCATACTCTTTTTCCTATGTTCATGGTCCATATGTTCATTCCAACATTTTATATTTGCTCTGAAACAAATATTGATGCAACTACCATTTTCAAGAATTCCTCTTCAATGCATAGTGGGACAATTTGCAGCTTTCCCGACTGTGTGTGTAACTATTTTAAACAATGGTACACCAAAATTACTATGCCACATTTCGACTTCAGTTTCTAGGAGAGCAAAGTAAAGCATTCCCATGTGGTAAATTGTCACAGCGTTCTTTAGAAAATGGGTCAATTCATTTACAGTACCTTTTTAGTATTTGCCAGTATATTCTTCATTGAAATAGTTTCAATAATTATAAATTATTTCAAACATATGAACATACGAATGTGGAGGAATAGGCCATTCAACCCCTCAAGTCTGCTCTGGAATTTACTAAGATGAAGGCTGATCTGATTGTAACCTCAAATCCACTTTCCTCTAACCTCTGTAACTTTTCAACCCCTTACTTAAGAACAATCCACCTCTGACTTAAAAACTATTTAGAGACTCTGTTTCTACTCCTCTTTAAAGAGAGCTCCAAAGACACCTGACCCTCAGAAATAATTTCTTCCTGTCTTGGTCTTAAACAGGTGAGCCCTTATTTTTGAAACAGTGATCTTTAATTCCAGAAAATCCCACAAGAGGAAAGATGCTCTCCATCTGAAGAATAAACCGCCATTAAAAGCGCACATAATTCACCTAATTTCCTTGGATAGCAATTAAAAAATATTACAGCTGAAGCCATCAAACCCACGAAAATACGCGTTCAATTATTCAACTCCTAATTGTTCACCTTGTGTTTAATACTCCTAAACCAAATCAAGCCAACGTACATAAATACAAATATATAATCAACAGCAGAATGATTTAAGACAAAGACATTGTGTGACTCTGGGGGAATACAAACTGTCAACACACAATATGAAGAATCATATGGAAATCAGTATCAGGAAAACTAAAAATCATTACAATTTTTGTAACACACATTCCCCATGCCCAGATAAAACTTAATTTAAAAAAAACATGTAATCTGAAAGGAAAGCTGCGTAACCTGATCACACGCAAAAGCAGAAACTGTGTCCTTTCCCAGAATTTCTGAAAGTGTATACAATTGAGGTAATAGAACAGGGAGGAATTATTGGGACATCAAAGGTCTGAATAACTACAAAATGAGATGCTCAATAAACATGACTGCTAATGTAGCAATCACACAGGAATTACAATTCTAAGAGGAATAAAGAATATAAACACCTCCTGGGAAAAAATAATATGCAACCCCCAATCGAATAGTAATTGAGGGAAAGCCTCTGACTCAAATGTCAGTGAAATCCTCCTTGGTTCTGCTCACTTTCTCTCTCCACCTGTAGTTATACAAAAATTGGAGTGATCAACTAACATTTGAAAGGATAACGATTGTAGCTACTGCCTTCAGCTCAAACTAAAACTTGCAATGAATACCCCAACATCATCAATTTTACTCACAGATGGATTCAATATTTTACAAAATTGAAGCAAACATTTCTTCAAATATTTACAGCACCAAATCTCAAAACCAACTAATGTCAAAGTTTGACTAAATGATCCATCAGGTATTTATACACACTCAAACTTTATGTAGAATGATCATACAGTCTTCTCCCATCCTACTTTGGTATAATTAACAAAGATGTAAGTAGACAAAGCTTCATAATCATTACAGCCAAGAATGCTATTACATTAAGGGGACAGATAGGACTGAAAGGCACTTCCAGTGGAGATACATGGGGTTAGTCTGCCCAATGGGAATGCAACATGTGTCGAAAAATTCTACTTATGAGGGATGTTGGAATTTTAATGGCAGAAAGCTGGAAGGAGGAGTATTACTTCTCAACTCACAGCATCACAACCTATACAAATATAACAACTGTTAAAGGCTACAATTTCAAACTCAAGCTTGTTGTATTATGTTTAAGAAGAAACAAATATGCATCTTTAATTCAGTATAAATGCATTATAAGTGCAACGGCTTTCAGTGGTATCATGTGCTGGCTGAATAAATTGGGTCCATATTTTCTGGAGTTTAGAATAATTTACAGGTGTTCACAGTTTCAGCCCAAGGTGAAAACATGCCTTAATTGTAACTCTGCTGTAAATGTTTACAAGATTTGACTAAAAGTATAAACCAAAGGTTATACAGATACACATCACAAACATAGATACAAATACAGACATGCATAGCACTGACTGGAACAGTTTTCCCTTCACTTGGCAATATTTCCCTCCACAGTCAATTAACTGTGTTAATTTATACAATTTTTTGATCATCCTTCATACTTTATCTGGCAACAATTGAAGCTATAACTAAGCCCACAATCACCAACCGAAAAGCAGCCATTTACAGATAGTATGAATTAAACATAGCATTCCTAACAACAGCCAAAAACATAAACAAGTGCAAAAGGCAAACACCTATTGAATCCCCAACAGACATTGTTGGTCTTACCCAGAGCTGATTAGAAATACAGATGTCATCAGTAACCTCTCCTTTGTCCTACAGGTCGAAACAAAAGGGAAAGATGGCAAAAACAGTTCAGCATGCTATTCATTGCAAATTTGTTAAACGAAGTCAAACTCTCAGATCGATACACATGTGAATCTTTTACAAGCAGCATATGATTGAAATAAGACCAACAAGTGGCCTCTTGCATATTCAGCTACCTTTAGGAGATGGGTCACTGAGATCCAATGGAAAAGCTCTGCTGTACTGCAAACTTTAAAACAAAACTTAACTCACCACTAAATCTAGAAAATGTTGAGTGAAGCAGACCTATAAAGTGACTACTTTGACTCACTAACATGAGTTTTTCAGAATTTTTAATTGCATTCTGTAGGAGTGTTATATATCAACTTTGTTAATGGTTTCACTTTCAGCTATACTAGTTAAGTTGAGATAATCTTTGCTGAACATTTCTACGTCTCGCTTCCCTTCCACGGGACAAATCAGATGCTGGTGTCTGGCTAAAACAGATGACTTCCAACTTGCAGGTCCTGTTATGGATAAAAGTGTAAACCATTTAAGTGAATTACTGCAAACTTACTATAGCCCTTAATAGTGCATTTAAAAACCCTGGCTACTAATCGTACTTTAAATTCATTAATTTTGGTAGCACAATGTTCTGATGCTTGATTTGCATTTGCTGATATCTGGTAGGTGGTGGTGAGCTGCTTTCTTAAACTGCTGTAGCAACATCCACAGTACTGTTAGGAAGGGAGTTCCAGGATTTTAACCCAGCTCAGTGTAATGTACATCAGTTGTTACTAAGACTAGATCTCAGTTTCAGGTTTATAAATTGCATTAAAATTCCACGGGTTGCTGTGGTGGAATTTGAACCAATGTTTTCAGGCCATTAACCTGAGCCTCTGATGTACTAGTCTTACATCATCACTACTATGCCAACATCTTCCATGACACATTTCCTCAAACTGAAATTGTTCCACTGCCACGTAATCTTCCAAAGGAATACAGCATGTAGCTATGCACTCAGGTAAAACTAGTGACTGACTTATTAATTGATCTGAGCCATAACAATTCAAATTAATATTAATCTCCTTGGCAATATTTTGGCTCTCCAACTTTCCTTTACATCATAGACTAACATACTATTGTGAGCAAGCTACCAACAACTGCATTCAATGCAATATATAGCATCAGACTCCCTCCTCCAGCCACTTTCAAATCTCAGATAAAATGACAAACTAATGCCAGATGAATTGAGATTACAGTGTATCATTATGAAACAGAAAACACTTTTCACCAATCGGAATTATGCAATGTATCATGCTATACAATTTACAATGTATCATGCTCACCTACCTCCGGTCACAAGGTAAAGTACTAGACTGTTTTTGAAAAACTGCATTGCAAGTAAACTACAATCGACAAACTCATGTAACCATTATTTAAAAATTTTAAAAATGGCCTATTGATGGGTGAAGGAAGAAGCTAAATTAAGTTTTCAATTGGACTTATTTTTATTCACTCATGGGAAATAGGCATCACTGGCTGAGCCAGCTTTTATTGCCCATCTCTAGTTGAGGAGGTGGTGGTGAGCTGCCTTCTTGAACCGCTTGCAGTCTAGGTGTTGTAGGTAGACCCACAATGATATTAGGGAGGCAACTCCAGGATTTTGACCAAGCAACAGTGAAGACTGGGGATATATTTCCAAGTCATGATGGTGAGTCTCTTGGAAGGGAACTTGAAAAGTGGTGGTGTTACCATGTAGCTGCTGCCCTTGTCCTTGGATAATGGAACAATCCTGAATATTTACATTTCCATGCTCAGAGAAGGGTTTTGTATATGACAAGGTATTTACTTCTAGCAGATTATCTTGTGAAAATTAAAACATAATGGACACTAAATTGGATAGATCCTGAAGCAAATAATTCCAGCATCAGAGATAGTAGGAACTGCAGATACTGGAGAATCTGAGACAACAAGGTGCAGAGCTGGATGAACACAGCAGGCCAAGCAGCATCATAGGAGCAGGAAGCCTATAATTTCAGCATCAGCTTGGTCAGACTAGAAGCATAAAGTTCATTAACATGGTCACCAGCACAACCACTGACAAGGCAGTGCTTGCCCTGCTCAGATTGCTGAGAAATCCATTGCATTTCACTTGATTGCGTTTACTATTTGATATTGTCTGTGGAGTATTCAACCATCATTTGTCTGTTATACAAATTAGCCTCATGTGAAGTTTGAAATGTTAACAGTATAAGTTGCATTTATTGTTGCAGAAACTAGACTTCTTCAGTTAACAAAACAACATAAGAGATTTGAAACAAGTTCAAAATCATGAAATAAAAGGGCCAGTAGCAACATGGATACAAAATTGGCTGAGCGATAGTAAAGACAGAGTAATGGTCATTGGATACTTTTTTGGTTGGGAACAGGTTTTGAGTGGAATTCCTCTGGGGTCATTTGGACCTTTGATTCTCCTGATATATATTATTATCGTCAAGATCTTGATGAGCGGGGAGAATTTGAAAGTCTGCAGATGTCTTAAAACTTTGAAAAACTGACTAGGGAGGACAGCGTAGAACTCCAAAAAGACATAAGGAGTAGGTGGACAGTTGGCAGATGAAATTTAATGTAGAGAAGCATGAGGTAATGAATTTTGGGATAGAAATGTCGTTAGATAGTACAAAATAAGAGGTACAATCAAAGGGATGCAGGAGCAGAGGAACCTGGGTGCACATGTACTCAGATTATTGCAAGTGGCAGGACAGATTGAGAGAGCAATTAATAAAGTATACAGTATCCTTACCTTTATTTATAGGGGTATACAGTAGAGGAGCAAGGAGGTTATTTTGTATAAAACACTGTTTAGACTTCAGCTGGAGTACTGTGTACAGGTCTGGGTGGTACATTGTACGAAGAGTGAACACATTACAGAGAATTCAGAAGCGATTTAACAGAAAGATTCCAGGGAAGAACAACTTTAGTTATGAAGCTAGATGGAAGAAGGTGAGACTATTCTCCTTGGAGGGAAAGATGCAGAGAGGACATTTGGTAGGAAATATCATGAGCAGGCTGGATAGAGGAAATAGGGAGAAACTGTTCTCACCTGCAAAAGGAACAAGGCAGCAAAAGAAGCAAGGATGATGTGCGCAAAAAAATTTTTCACACAGTGAGCAGTGAGAGAATGGAATTCACTGCTTGGAAGTGTCGTGGGCTGTCTTGAAGACTTTTATCAGATCATCCCCTAACCAAAATTATAAAGAAAATAGGCCTAAATTGCATAATCTGTCCTCATAAACCTGTATCCTGAAATCCAGGTACCATTCTGGTAAAAAGGTTTTGAGATGATTTGTAGCTCGGGTTGTGGATGAGGTTGTAGACTTGCTCGCTGAGCTGGTGTGTTTAAATGCAGAAGTTTGGTCACCTTGCCAGGTAATATCGTCAGTGCGCCTCAGATGAAGCGTTGGTATTTTGTTCAACTTGTCATTTGTACACCTTGGTTTGCTGGGGTGTTTGGCATCACTTCTGGTTCTGTTTCTCACTGGTTTGTATATCGGGTCCAGTTCAATGCGTTTGTTGACTGAGTTCCGGTTGGAATGCCAGGCCTCCACGAATTTCTTGGCACGTCTGTGTTTGGCTTGTGCTATTTTGGATGTGTTGTCCCAACCGAATTTGTGTCCTCTTTTGTCCATATGTGTTGAGACCAGTGAAAATTGGTCATGTCCCTTGTTAGCTAGTTGGTGTTTGTGTATCCTTATTGTCAGTTTTCTTCCAGTTTGGCCTATGTAATGTTTCTCACAGTCCTTGCATGTTATTTTGTATATTATGTTAATTTTATTGGTTGTGGGTATGGGGTCCTTTACGTTCATCACTAGCTGTTACAGTGTGGTTGTTGGTTTGTGGGCTGCCCTGATACCTAGGGACATCTCTGATGTGTCTGTCACATACAGTAGGGTGACTAGTGCATCTGGCTGCGTTTGGTCTTCTTGTTGTGGTCTGTCATGGAGGTAATGGCGGATTGTGCTTTTTGGGTACCCATTCCTTTTAAAAACTCCATACAAGTGCTCCTGTTCTGCTTTGCGCAATTCTGGGTTGCTGCAGTGTGTTGTGGCCTGTTTGACTAATGTCCTGATGCAGCTCCGTTTATGGGTGTTGGAGTGGTTGCCGGATCATGAGAAGCATTACACAGGCCAAACTGGAAGAAAACTGCCAATAAAGATACACGAACACCAACTAGCCACCAAGAGACATGACCAATGCTCATTGGTATCAAAACACAAAGAAGGACATGAATTTGACTGGGATATCACATCCATAATAGCACAAGCCAAACAGAGACATGCCAGGGAATTCCTGGAGGCCTAGCATTCCAACCGGAACTCCGTTAACAAACACAGTGAACTTGACCTGATATACAAACCACTGAGAAACAGAACCGGAAGCGATGCCAACCACCCCAGCAAACCGAGGCATATAAATAACAAGCAGAACAGAACACCAACACTTCACTGGAGGCACGCTGACAATGTTACCTAGCAGGGCGATGGAACATCTGCAATCAAGCAGTTCAGTGGTTTGGCGAGCAAGTCTACAACCTCACCATTCATGTAAATCTATGTTGTGCTCCCTCCAAGGCCAACCTACCCTTCCTAAGGTGTGCTACCAGATTTGCTCACAGTACTCAAAGAGAGGTCTAACCAGGGCTTTGTATAACTGCAGCATTTGTTCTGCATCCTTGCTCTCCAGTCCTCTAGATACAATAGCCAGCATTCCAATAGCTTTCTTGACTACTTTCGGCACCTGTTCGTGACATTTTAAAGACCTAAGCACCTCAACCCCTGTCTCTTTGGACATCCAGTGTATTTACCTTCATGTCACCTAGACAGTACCCTGATCTATTGTTTTTCAGTCCAAAATGAATAACCTCACAATGCCAAAATCCATCTGCCACAGTTTTTGCCCATTCACCTAGTCTATCAATATCCCTTGGTAGTTTTATGCTATCATCTATACTGTTTACAATGCTGCCT